AGGGGGGGAGAGGGAGGGGGGGAGAGGGAGGGGGAGAGGAGGGGGGGGAGGGAGGGAGGGGGGGAGGGGAGGGGGGAGGGAGGGGGGGGCCATACGTCTAGACAGCGAGGCTTCTTCACTGCGTGCGCGTCTCTCTGCGGCGCCGTCTCCCCGGGATTTGGCGTCTGCCGCTCGCTCCCTCGCGTCCAGGAGACGCGCCGTGAGGCTCAGGTAGCGCTCGTCCTGCATGGGACACACACGGTGAGACACACGGTGAGACACGTGGGGAGACAGAGAGACACACGGTGAGACACACGGGGAGACACACGGTGAGACACAGAGAGACACACGGTGAGACACACGGTGAGACACGTGGGGAGACACACAGTGAGACACACGGTGAGACACGGTGAGACACATGGTGAGACACGTGGGGAGACAGAGAGACACACGGTGAGACACGGTGAGACACACGGTGAGACACACGGTGAGACACACGGTGAGACACACGGAGAGACACAGAGAGAGACACACGGTGAGACACACGGTGAGACACACGGCGAGACACACGGTGAGACACACGGTGAGACACACGGCGAGACACACGGTGAGACACACGGTGAGACACGTGGGGAGACACACGGTGAGACACAGTGAGACACACGGTGAGACACAGAGAGACACACGGTGAGACACGCGGTGAGACACACGGTGAGACACACGGTGAGACACACGGTGAGACACACGGTGAGACACACGGTGAGACACACGGTGAGACACAGAGAGAGACACACGGTGAGACACACGGTGAGACACGTGGGGAGACACGTGGGAAGACACGCGGTGAGACACACAGTGAGACACAGAGAGAGACACGTGGGGAGACACACGGTGAGACACAGAGAGAGACACAGTGAGACACACGGTGAGACACACGGTGAGACACAGAGAGAGACACAGTGAGACACACGGTGAGACACAGAGAGACACACGGTGAGACACGTGGGGAGAGTTCTGTTTTACTGAAGTCAGCAGCGAGCGGAGGGCAGCAAAACAACAGTCACCGTTGTACCGTACCCACACGCTCCCACGCCTACGGCCGAAGCACCGCCGCCCACGCGAGCGGCCCCTCATCCAGCAGTGGATCACCGCGACCGGCCCGGCGGCCGCCACCTTACCGGGTCCGAGTCCCACGCTCCCACGTCATCGTCGTCCTCCTCCTCCTCCTCCTTCTCCTCGTCGCTCTCCTCTTCCGCGTAGCGGAGGACCCAGTCCTTGACCGAGGCGTCCGTGGATCTCCCGTCGTCTGCCTGCGCCGCACACCACACACCCCCGCCATCACCCCCACCCCACGGTGCAGGGAACCGCACGAACGCCTCCATCAGGGAGCGTCACGCCAACTCACGAAAGCAGCCGCGCCCTTTGGTGGCCCGGCCGTCGGAACAAGGACGCCAAGCGACCCCTGACCCCCGACCCCCGACCCGCGACCCGCGTCCGGCCGCCCGTACCTGCCGGCGCGGGTGAGCGACGTGCGTCGCCACGCGCGTCTCCCTCGGGGGCTGAGCCGCCGGCGCCGGGGGCGAGAACCTCGGGCGAGTCTTCTCCTCCTCCTCCTCCAGGCGCTGGCTGAAGCCGTCGGGCAGCGCCTCTGCAAAAAGAGAACGGCCGCCACCTTCTATAGTTCCGCCCCCTTCACTCTCCGCCGCGTTGGGGCGCGTCCACGTGAACTCTTAAACCATCCCCATCCTACCAGGCAGGCAAAGCCCACCGGGGTATTCACTTACTTCTCAGAAGCGACCTGGCCACACACACGGGTGTCTGCTGTGTGAGTCTATGGGTCACTGCTGTGTGAGTCTGTGGGTCTCTGCTGTGTGAGTCTATGGGTCTCTGCTGTGTGAGTCTATGGGTCTCTGCTGTGTGAGTCTATGGGCCTCTGCTGTGTGAGTCTATGGGTCTCTGCTGTGTGAGTCTATGGGTCTCTGCTGTGTGAGTCTATGGGTCTCTGCTGTGTGAGTCTATGGGTCTCTGCTGTGTGAGTCTATGGGTCTCTGCTGTGTGAGTCAATGGGTCTCTGCTGTGTGAGTCTATGGGTCTCTGCTGTGTGAGTCTATGGGTCTCTGCTGTGTGAGTCTATGGGCCTCTGCTGTGTGAGTCTATGGGTCTCTGCTGTGTGAGTCTATGGGTCTCTGCTGTGTGAGTCTATGGGTCTCTGCTGTGTGAGTCTATGGGTCTCTGCTGTGTGAGTCTATGGGTCTCTGCTGTGTGAGTCTATGGGTCTCTGCCGTGTGAGTCTATGGGTCTCTGCTGTGTGAGTCTATGGGTCTCTGCTGTGTGAGTCTATGGGTCTCTGCTGTGTGAGTCTATGGGTCTCTGCTGTGTGAGTCTATGGGTCTCTGTCGTGTGAGTCTATGGGTCTCTGCCGTGTGAGTCTATGGGTCTCTGCTGTGTGAGTCTATGGGTCTCTGCTGTGTGAGTCTATGGGTCTCTGCTGTGTGAGTCTATGGGACTCTGCCGTGTGAGTCTATGGGTCTCTGCCGTGTGAGTATATAGGTCTCTGCCGTGTGAGTCTATAGGTCTCTGCCGTGTGAGTCTATGGGACTCTGCCGTGTGAGTCTATGAGTCTCTGCTGTGTGAGTCTACGGGTCTCTGCTGTGTGAGTCTATGGGTCTCTGCCGTGTGAGTCTATGGGTCTCTGCTGTGTGAGTCTATGGGTCTCTGCTGTGTGAGTCTATGGGTCTCTGCTGTGTGAGTCTATGGGTCTCTGCTGTGTGAGTCTATGGGTCTCTGCTGTGTGAGTCTATGGGTCTGTGCTGTGTGAGTCTATGGGTCTCTGCTGTGTGAGTCTATGGGTCTCTGCTGTGTGAGTCTTTTGGTGTCTGCTGTGTGAGTCTATGGGTCTCTGCTGTGTGAGTCTATGGGTCTCTGCTGTGTGAGTCTATGGGTCTCTGCTGTGTGAGTCTATGGGTCTCTGCTGTGTGAGTCTATGGGTCTCTGCTGTGTGAGTCTATGGGTCTCTGCTGTGTGAGTCTATGGGTCTCTGCCGTGTGAGTCTATGGGTCTCTGCTGTGTGAGTCTATGGGTCTCTGCTGTGTGAGTCTATGGGTCTCTGCTGTGTGAGTCTATGGGTCTCTGCTGTGTGAGTCTATGGGTCTCTGCTGTGTGAGTCTATGGGTCTCTGCTGTGTGAGTCTATGGGTCTCTGCTGTGTGAGTCTACGGGTCTCTGCTGTGTGAGTCTATGGGTCTCTGCTGTGTGAGTCTATGGGTCTCTGCGGTGTGAGTCTATGGGTCTCTGCTGTGTGAGTCTATGGGTCCTTGCTGTGTGAGTCTATGGGTCTCTGCTGTGTGAGTCTATGGGTCTCTGCTGTGTGAGTCTATGGGTCTCTGCTGTGTGAGTCTATGGGTCTCTGCTGTGTGAGTCTATGGGTCTCTGCTGTGTGAGTCTATGGGTCTCTGCTGTGTGAGTCTATGGGTCTCTGCTGTGTGAGTCTATGGGTCTCTGCTGTGTGAGTCTATGGGTCTCTGCTGTGTGAGTCTATGGGTCTCTGCTGTGTGAGTCTATGGATCTCTGCTGTGTGAGTCTATGGGACTCTGCCGTGTGAGTCTATGGGTCTCTGCCGTGTGAGTCTATAGGTCTCTGCCGTGTGAGTCTATAGGTCTCTGCCGTGTGAGTCTATGGGACTCTGCCGTGTGAGTCTATGAGTCTCTGCTGTGTGAGTCTATGGGTCTCTGCTGTGTGAGTCTATGGGTCTCTGCCGTGTGAGTCTATGGGTCTCTGCTGTGTGAGTCCATGGGTCTCTGCTGTGTGAGTCTATGGGTCTCTGCTGTGTGAGTCAATGGGCCTCCGCTGTGTGAGTCTCTGGGTCTCTGCGACCAGCGGGGCCGATCGGTTCGGAATTCGACGAATCGTCGCTCGCGTTACCGTCCGGCAGGTTGAGGCAAAGCCAGTCGAGGGCCGAGCGGAGGTCGCCCCCCCGCGTCACCGTGCTCGCCATGGCCTGCTCCACGTGGCTCCGCTCGAAGCCCGTGTCTTGCAGCGCCGTGTACACGTCCTGGAGGAAGCGCACGCGCGCGGAGACGCACGCACGCGGAGACACACGCAGAGACACACGCGCAGAGACACGCGGAGACACGCACGCGGAGACGCACGCGGAGACATGCACGCGGAGACACGCGGAGACGCACGCGGAGACACGCACGCGGAGACACGCACGCGGAGACACGAACGCAGAGACACGCGGAGACACGCACGCGGAGACGCACGCGGAGACATGCACGCGGAGACACGCGGAGACACACGTGGAGACACGCACACGGAGACACACGCGGAGACACGCACGCGGAGACACACGCGGAGACACGCACGCGTGCGGAGACACACGCGGAGACACACGCGGAGACACACGCGCAGAGACACGCGGAGACACGCACGCGGAGACGCACGCGGAGACATGCACGCGGAGACACGCGGAGACGCACGCGGAGACACGCACGCGGAGACGCACGCGGAGACACGCACGCAGAGACACGCGGAGACACGCACGCGGAGACGCACGCGGAGACATGCACGCGGAGACACGCGGAGACACGCACGCGGAGACGCACGCGGAGACATGCACGCGGAGACACACGCGGAGACACGCACGCGGAGACGCACGCGGAGACATGCACGCGGAGACACGCGGAGACACACGTGGAGACACGCACACGGAGACACACGCGGAGACACGCACGCGGAGACACACGCGGAGACACGCACGCAGAGGCACGCGGAGACACGCACGCACGCGGAGACACGCGGAGACACGCACACACGCGGAGACACGCGGAGACACGCACACACGCGGAGACACGCGGAGACACGCGGAGACACACACGCACGCACGCACAGACGCACGCACGTTAGAACCGCTGGGGGGGGGATTTGCGGAGGTGCAGAGGGAGGGAGGGTGGGGGAGGTGTGGAGGGGGGGGTGCGGAGGGGAGGGGAGGTGTGGAGGGGGGGCTGTGCGGAGGAGGGGGGGGGGGGTTGCTGAGGGGGGTGTGGAGGGAGTGGGGGGGAGGGGCGGTGCCACACCAGCAGCTTCTTGGTGGTGAGCCGGCGCGAGGCGCTGCCCTCGGGCGCCAGCTGCTCGCTCCGCCGTGCGTTGATGAGCTCCAGGATCCGCCGCTCCAGGTCGGGCGGCAGGGAGATCTGGGGGGGCGGGGGGGGGGGGGCGACGCAGAGACGGGCGACAGCGGTGGACGGTCCAGTCCTGTTCACGAAGGCTGAAGCGATCACTTCAACGCTCCGCAGCCTTTCGCGACCGATGCTATCCATTGCGGAAGTTCCGTTGCGTGAGATTGTGCAAACGCTACCTCGCCTGGTGTACAGGAGGTCGTGGGTTCGATCTCAACCCTGATGACACCTGCTGCTGCTGTATATGTGGAGTTTCTGTCTCTCTCTCTCTCTCATCATCATCATTATCACGGTGGCTATGAGATGTTGACTACCTCGCCTGGTGTACAGGAGGTCGTGGGTTCGATCCCGACCCTGACAATGCCTGCTGCTGTATATGTGGAGTTTCTGTCTCTCTCTCTCTCTCATCATCATCACGGTGGCTAGGAGATGTTGACTACCTCGCCTGGTGTACAGGAGGTCGTGGGTTCGATCCCGACCCTGACAATGCCTGCTGCTGCTGCTGTATATTTGGAGTGTGCGTGTCTCTCTCTCTCATCATCATCATCATCACGGTGGCTAGGAGATGTTAACTACCTCGCCTGGTGTACAGGAGGTCGTTGGTTCGATCCTGACCCTCATGCCTGCTGTGTGTGCATTTGGAGGGGAGGGAGGGAGGGAGGGGAGGGAGGGAGATTTGAAGCCCATTGGTGGATGCTACCGTACCTTAAGCACCGAATTGTCCACCTCCCCCGACTGCTGAGAGCTCCCAAAGCTGTACTGCTTGGGTCCTGAATCACAGAGGCACACGGTGGACGGGTGGGGGAGTAGGTGGAGCGTTAACACCGGCGGATGCTTGGGCATGAGATGGGTATGAGATGGGTATGAGATGATGGGTATGAGATGATGGGTATGAGATGGGTATGAGGTGGGTATGAGATGATGGGTATGAGATGGGTATGAGGTGGGTATGAGATGGGTATGAGGTGGGTATGAGGTGGGTATGAGATGGGTATGAGATGGGTATGAGGTGGGTATGAGGTGGGTATGAGGTGGGTATGAGGTGGGTATGAGGTGGGTATGAGATGGGTATGAGATGATGGGTATGAGATGGGTATGAGGTGGGTATGAGATGGGTATGAGATGGGTATGAGATGGGTATGAGGTGGGTATGAGGTGGGTATGAGATGGGTATGAGATGGGTATGAGATGGGTATGAGATGATGGGTATGAGATGGGTATGAGGTGGGTATGAGATGATGGGTATGAGATGGGTATGAGATGGGTATGAGGTGGGTATGAGATGGGTATGAGATGGGTATGAGATGATGGGTATGAGGTGGGTATGAGGTGGGTATGAGGTGGGTATGAGATGGGTATGAGATGGGTATGAGGTGGGTATGAGGTGGGTATGAGATGGGTATGAGATGGGTATGAGATGGGTATGAGGTGGGTATGAGGTGGGTATGAGATGGGTATGAGATGGGTATGAGATGATGGGTATGAGGTGGGTATGAGGTGGGTATGAGATGGGTATGAGATGGGTATGAGATGATGGGTATGAGATGGGTATGAGGTGGGTATGAGATAGGTATGAGATGGGTATGAGATGGGTATGAGATGGGCATGAGATGGGTATGAGATGGGTATGAGATGGGCATGAGATGGGCATGAGATGGGCATGAGATGGGTATGAGATGGGTATGAGATGGGTATGAGGTGGGTATGAGATGGGTATGAGATGGGTATGAGATAGGTATGAGATAGGTATGAGATGGGTATGAGATGATGGGCATGAGATGGGGATGAGATGGTTAGGAGATTCAGAGATGGGCATGAGATGATGGGCATGAGATGATGGGCATGAGATGATGGGCAGGAGATTCAGAGATGGGCAGGAGGTTGGGGAGGGATTCCACAGCACAGATTTGGCTGCAGTGGGGTGAGTGGCCCGGGGGCAGCAGCAGAGGGCAGGCAGGCCGAGGGAGACCGGGTCGGAGCGACGCCGGCGGCCGGCCCCTCACCTTTGCTCTGCAAGTCGGCCTGCACCACAGCAGAGACCTGGCCTGGACACGGAGGCCCCGCGCTCTGGCCCTGGGCCTGGGCCGGGCCCTGACCCACGGCCTGGGCCTTCTTTTTGCCGCGGTCCGGCTGGCTCTTGTCGGACGACTCCGTGCCGTTGGTCGGCGCCGAGTTCCCGGCCTTGTTTTTCTTTCTCCCCATCTTTACTGTGGGGGGCAGCGGTGGTGGGGGGGGGGGGGGGGTGAGCAGGGAAGATGTGACGAGACCTGCATCCGTAGACGACAACGATTCGACCTTTCTGGAAATAAATCGGGCGTCGAGATGGTGTGGGCCAATCGGTTTCGAAGACAATGCATCATGTGTTAATTATCAGAGAATGCTTTTTTTTTGCATGTTCACAAGTACGTGCGGTTGATGCGGACAGGAATCTGTGAAGAAGGATTCTGTTTGGTGTCTTAACATCTTGACACCTGTTTTATTTAAAGTGCTGCTGCTTGGGCTAGTGCTGCTGCTGGGGCTAATGTTACTGCTGGGGTTAGTGCTGCTGCTGGTGCTAGTGCTACTGCTGGGGTTAGTGCTGCTGCTGGGGCTAATGTTACTGCTGGGGTTAGTGCTGCTGCTGGTGCTAGTGCTGCTGCTGGGGCTAGTGCTACTGCTGGGGTTAGTGCTGCTGCTGGGGTTAGTGCTACTGTTGGGGTTAGTGTTGCTGCTGGGGTTAGTGTTGCTGCTGGGGTTAGTGCTACTGCTGGGGTTAGTGTTACCTCTGGGGTTAGTGCTACTGCTGGCGCTAGTGATACTGCTGGGGTTAGTGATACTGCTGGGGTTAGTGCTACTGCTGGGGCTAGTGTTGCTGCTGGGGCTAGTGCTAATGCTGGGGTTAGTGCTACTGCTGGGGTTAGTGCTACTGCTGGGGTTAGTGCTACTGCTGGGGCTAGTGCTACTGCTGGGGTTAGTGCTACTGCTGGGGTTAGTGTTGCTGCTGGGGTTAGTGTTACTGCTGGGGTTAGTGCTGCTGCTGGGGTTAGTGCTACCGCTGGGGTTAGTGCTACTGCTGGGGTTAGTGCTACTGCTGGGGTTAGTGCTACTGCTGGGGTTAGTGTTACTGCTGGTGCTAGTGTTACTGCTGGGGTTAGTGATAATGCTGGGGTTAGTGATAATGCTGGGGTTAGTGTTACTGCTGGTGCTCGTGTTACTGCTGGGGTTAGTGCTACTGCTGGGGTTAGTGTTACTGCTGGGGTTAGTGTTACTGCTGGTGCTCGTGTTACTGCTGGGGTTAGTGCTACTGCTGGGGTTAGTGTTACTGCTGGGGTTAGTGTTACTGCTGGGGTTAGTGATAATGCTGGGGTTAGTGATAATGCTGGGGTTAGTGTTACTGCTGGTGCTCGTGTTACTGCTGGGGTTAGTGCTACTGCTGGGGTTAGTGTTACTGCTGGGGTTAGTGTTACTGCTGGTGCTCGTGTTACTGCTGGGGTTAGTGCTACTGCTGGGGTTAGTGTTACTGCTGGGGTTAGTGTTACTGCTGGGGTTAGTGCTGCTGCTGGTGCTAGTGTTACTGCTGGTGTTAGTGTTGCTGCTGGGGTTAGTGATACTGCTGGGGTTAGTGCTACTGCTGGGGTTAGTGCTACTGCTGGTGTTAGTGCTACTGCTGGGGTTAGTGCTACTGCTGGGGTTAGTGCTGCTGCTGGGGTTAGTGTTACTGCTGGGGTTAGTGTTACTGCTAGGGTTAGTGCTACTGCTGGGGTTAGTGCTACTGCTGGTGTTAGTGCTACTGCTGGGGTTAGTGCTACTGCTGGGGTTAGTGCTACTGCTGGGGTTAGTGTTACTGCTGGGGTTAGTGTTACTGCTAGGGTTAGTGCTACTGCTGGGGTTAGTGCTGCTGCTAGGGCTAGTGTTGCTGCTGGGGTTAGTGCTACTGCTGGGGTTAGTGTTACTGCTGGGGTTAGTGCTACTGCTGGGGTTAGTGTTACTGCTGGGGTTAGTGCTACTGCTGGGGTTAGTGCTGCTGCTAGGGCTAGTGTTGCTGCTGGGGTTAGTGCTACTGCTGGGGTTAGTGTTACTGCTGGGGTTAGTGCTACTGATGGGGTTAGTGTTACTGATGGGGTTAGTGCTACTGCTGGGGTTAGTGCTGCTGCTAGGGCTAGTGTTGCTGCTGGGGTTAGTGCTACTGATGGGGTTAGTGTTACTGCTGGGGTTAGTGATAATGCTGGGGTTAGTGATAATGCTGGGGTTAGTGTTACTGCTGGTGCTCGTGTTACTGCTGGGGTTAGTGCTACTGCTGGGGTTAGTGTTACTGCTGGGGTTAGTGTTACTGCTGGTGCTCGTGTTACTGCTGGGGTTAGTGCTACTGCTGGGGTTAGTGTTACTGCTGGGGTTAGTGTTACTGCTGGGGTTAGTGCAACTGCTGGTGCTAGTGTTACTGCTGGTGCTCGTGTTACTGCTGGTGCTCGTGTTACTGCTGCTACTGCTGGGGCTAGTGCTACTGCTGGGGCTAGTGCTACTGCTGGGGTTAGTGCTACTGCTGGTGCTAGTGTTGCTGCTGGGGTTAGTGCTACTGCTGGGGTTAGTGTTACTGCTGGGGTTAGTGCTACTGCTAGGGTTAGTGTTACTGCTGGGGTTAGTGCTACTGCTGGGGTTAGTGCTGCTGCTAGGGCTAGTGTTGCTGCTGGGGTTAGTGCTACTGCTGGGGTTAGTGTTACTGCTGGGGTTAGTGCTACTGATGGGGTTAGTGTTACTGATGGGGTTAGTGCTACTGCTGGGGTTAGTGCTGCTGCTAGGGCTAGTGTTGCTGCTGGGGTTAGTGCTACTGATGGGGTTAGTGTTACTGCTGGGGTTAGTGATAATGCTGGGGTTAGTGATAATGCTGGGGTTAGTGTTACTGCTGGTGCTCGTGTTACTGCTGGGGTTAGTGCTACTGCTGGGGTTAGTGTTACTGCTGGGGTTAGTGTTACTGCTGGTGCTCGTGTTACTGCTGGGGTTAGTGCTACTGCTGGGGTTAGTGTTACTGCTGGGGTTAGTGTTACTGCTGGGGTTAGTGCAACTGCTGGTGCTAGTGTTACTGCTGGTGCTCGTGTTACTGCTGGTGCTCGTGTTACTGCTGCTACTGCTGGGGCTAGTGCTACTGCTGGGGCTAGTGCTACTGCTGGGGTTAGTGCTACTGCTGGTGCTAGTGTTACTGCTGGGGTTAGTGCTGCTGCTGGTGCTAGTGTTACTGCTGGTGTTAGTGCTACTGCTGGGGTTAGTGTTACTGCTGGGGTTAGTGTTACTGCTGGGGTTAGTGTTACTGCTGGGGTTAGTGCTACTGCTGGTGTTAGTGCTACTGCTGGGGTTAGTGCTACTGCTGGGGTTAGTGCTGCTGCTGGGGTTAGTGTTACTGCTGGGGTTAGTGTTACTGCTAGGGTTAGTGCTACTGCTGGGGTTAGTGCTACTGCTGGTGTTAGTGCTACTGCTGGGGTTAGTGCTACTGCTGGGGTTAGTGCTACTGCTGGGGTTAGTGTTACTGCTGGGGTTAGTGTTACTGCTAGGGTTAGTGCTACTGCTGGGGTTAGTGCTGCTGCTAGGGCTAGTGTTGCTGCTGGGGTTAGTGCTACTGCTGGGGTTAGTGTTACTGCTGGGGTTAGTGCTACTGCTAGGGTTAGTGTTACTGCTGGGGTTAGTGCTACTGCTGGGGTTAGTGCTGCTGCTAGGGCTAGTGTTGCTGCTGGGGTTAGTGCTACTGATGGGGTTAGTGTTACTGCTGGGGTTAGTGCTACTGATGGGGTTAGTGCTACTGCTGGGGCTAGTGTTACTGCTGGGGCTAGTGTTACTGATGGGGTTAGTGCTACTGCTGGGGTTAGTGTTACTGCTGGGGCTAGTGCTACTGCTGGGGCTAGTGCTACTGCTGGGGTTAGTGCTACTGCTGGGGTTAGTGCTGCTGCTGGGGTTAGTGTTACTGCTAGGGTTAGTGCTACTGCTGGGGCTAGTGCTACTGCTGGTGCTAGTGCTACTGCTGGGGTTAGTGCTACTGCTGGGGTTAGTGCTGCTGCTAGGGCTAGTGTTGCTGCTAGGGTTAGTGCTACTGCTGGGGTTAGTGTTACTGCTGGGGTTATTGCTGCTGCTAGGGTTAGTGTTACTGCTGGGGTTAGTGCTACTGCTGGGGTTAGTGCTGCTGCTGGGGTTAGTGCTGCTGCTGGGGTTAGTGCTACTACTGGGGTTAGTGCTACTGCTGGGGTTAGTGTTACTGCTGGGGTTAGTGCTACTGCTGGGGTTAGTGCTACTACTGGGGTTAGTGCTACTGCTGGGGTTAGTGTTACTGCTGGGGTTAGTGCTACTGCTGGGGTTAGTGCTACCGCTGGGGTTAGTGTTACCGCTGGGGTTAGTGCTACTGCTGGGGTTAGTGTTACTGCTGGGGTTAGTGTTACTGCTGGGGTTAGTGATACTGCTGGGGTTAGTGATACTGCTGGGGTTAATGCTACTGCTGGGGCAAGTGTTGCTGCTGGTGCTCGTGTTACTGCTGGGGTTAGTGCTACTGCTGGGGTTAGTGCACTGCTGGGGCTAGTGCTACTGCTGGGGTTAGTGCTACTGCTGGGGTTAGTGTTACCTCTGGGGTTAGTGTTACTGCTGGGGCTAGTGATACTGATGGGGCTAGTGTTACTGCTGGTGCTACTGCTGGGGCTAGTGCAGCCGCTTTGAGGGCCGTCGTCGCTGAGACAAAGGGAGCCACGGAGGGCACAGGCGAAGACAGAAGACGACGAGGCCCGACCCGCGACCGCCCTTTACCTGTGGACGCAAGAGAGCCGCACGCGGCGGCAAGAAGGCGGCAGGGGGTGGGGTGGGTGGGAGCCTCTTGGCTCGACCGCTCGAGGAAGGGTCCCGGCGGGAGGGCAGCTCCAGTGAACTAAAGCGAGACAATAATCGGCACGATGGGTGTTTTAAATAAAAAAAAACAAAATCAAACGCAAACAAAAAGCTACGCCGAGTTTTATTTTACAAAACAAACCGAATTATTTGCAATCGCTTAATTCGCAATTATTGTCGTAGTTCTGATGCAAACGACGACAACAAAGCATGCGTTTGTTTTGTCTCATATATATACATCGACCGTTGTGGTTAAGAGATATTTTTATTTTATTTTTGTTTTAAAAAAGACGCTACGAGTCAAATGGGTGCAGGCCTCGTGTTAGCCGAACTCCTCCTCCTCCCCGCGACCCCGCCCCTCGAGTCGCCTGACGAGGTCTCTGATTGGTCCGTGGCCACACGCCGCCCACGTGACGGGCTACGGCGCGCGTGACGTCACGCGACGCGTCCGGCGGCTCCGTGAGTCGGGAGGTTTGCGGCGGGGGGAGGTGGCGGCCATCTTGGTAAGGGGTTGGGGAGGGAGGGGGGTAGGAGGGGAGGGAGGGGGGAGGAAGGGGAGGGGAGGGAGGGGGGAGGAAGGGGAGGGGAGGGGGGAGGAGGGGGAGGGAGGAGGGGGAGAGAGGGGGCAGGAGGGGATGGAGGGGAGGGGGTAGGAGGGGAGGGAGGAGGGGAGGGAGGGAGGGGGAGGAGGGGGAGGGAGGGGGAGGAGGTAGGAGGGGAGGGAGGGGGTAGGAGGGGAGGGGGTGGAGGGGGTAGGAGGGGAGGGGGAGGGAGGAGGGGAGGGAGGGGGCAGGAGGGGATGGAGGAGGGGAGGGAGGAGGAGGGAGAGAGGGGAGGGGTAGGAGGGGAGGGAGGGGGAGGAGGGGCGGGAGGGGGGAGGAAGGGAGGGGGAGTAGCGGAGGGGGTGGGAGGGGAGGGAGGGGGGAGGAAGGGAGGGGGAGGAGGGGAGGGGGAGGGGAGAGAGGGGGGAGGAGGGGCGGGAGAAGGAGGAGAGGGGAGGGAACCGCCGGAATTGGAATTCAAAAAATATAAATAATTATTTAACTGGAGGAAATCCGATGAGCTATGAAGCTCTTTTGCGTGTCACGCCGAAGTCCAGCAGGTGGCGGGTCAATAAAGTTACAGAAATACGAAAGCAACGATCGGAGTGCAAAATATAAACAAACAAATACTAAAGAGTATCCATGGATAATGAATGAATGAAATAACTGAATATACAAAATTAATTATACAAGTCCCATTTATCAAGACTGGGCAACACATCAACAACAAACAGTCCCAGACCACACCAAGTCAAATGTATTTAGCCTGCAGAGAGAAATCCGAGAAGCTACGAAGCTCTTTTGCGTGTCGTGTCCAGCAGGTGGCGGGTGAGAGCGTAGCAACTGCAACAAACAATCGCACTCACTCACGATCGGAGTGCAAAGTCTATGAACGGTGAGCAAATCACTCAGTCACAAAAATGAACAAGTACACGACTAGACTTTGTTTTTATTTGACGAGGTGTCAGCCCCCCCCACCCCGCCCCACTGAGCTGTGTAACTCTTGTTTCAGAAGCGACTCTGTCACAAATGATAGCTCAACGAAAGTGGTGGCTTGTCATCAACATCATCAACATTATCGATGTATAGCAGCAGCCAAATCCTCTGAACACGTGGGTGACGATGTTGATTCTAAACTTGGAGGGGTGGGGGGGGGAAACCGGAGAAAAATCCACGCGGCCACTACGGAGAGAAAGAAAGAGGCTCAAACTCCAAATATACAGCAGCAGCTGGCACCGTCAGGGTCGGGATGGAACCCACGACCTCCTGTAGACCAGGCGAGGTAGTCAACATCTCATAGCCACTGTAATGATGATGAGAGAGACACGCAAACTCCAAATTTACAGCAGCAGCTGGCATCGTCAGGGTCGGGATGGAACCCACGACCTCCTGTAGACCTGGCGAGGTAGTCAACATCTCCTAGCCACCGTGATGATGAGAGAGAGAGACACGCAGACTCCAAATATACAGCAGCAGCTGGCACCGTCAGGGTCGGGATGGAACCCACGACCTCCTGTACACCAGGCGAGGTAGTCAACATCTCATAGCCACTGTGATGATGATGATGAGAGACACGCAGACTCCAAATCTACAGCAGCAGCAGCAGGCGTCGTCAGGGTCGGGATGGAACCCACGACCTCCTGTAGACCAGGCGAGGTAGTCAACATCTCCTAGCCACCGTGATGATGATGAGAGAGAGAGACACGCAGACTCCACATATACAGCAGCAGGCATCGTCAGGGTCGGGATGGAACCCACGACCTCCTGTACACCAGGCGAAGTAGTCAACATCTCCTAGCCACCCCCATTGACTTTCATCGTTCAGTGAATGAGGAAGCCACTCGAATGGACTGCGGCTCGGGGATCTGGTTGGAGTGGCTTGGCCGACGCGACGGGAGAGTTCCCGCGAGAGTTCCCGGGAGAGTTCCCGGGAGAGTTCCCGCGAGAGTTTCCGGGAGAGTTCCCGCGAGAGTTCCGGGGAGAGTTCCCGCGAGAGCTCCAGGGAGAGTTCCCGGGAGAGTTCCCGCGAGAGTTCCCGCGAGAGTTCCCGGGAGAGTTCCCGCGAGAGTTCCCGGGAGAGCTCCAGGGAGAGTTCCCGGGAGAGTTCCCGCGAGAGTTCCCAGGAGAGTTCCCGCGAGAGTTCCCAGGAGAGTTCCCGCGAGAGTTCCCGCGAGAGTTCCCGGGAGAGTTCCCAGGAGAGTTCCCGCGAGAGTTCCCAGGAGAGTTCCCGCGAGAGTTCCCGCGAGAGTTCCCGGGAGAGTTCCCGCGAGAGTTCCCGGGAGAGTTCCCGCGAGAGTTCCCGGGAGAGTTCCCGCGAGAGTTCCCGCTCGTTCTCAGTGTCAGCGAATGAATGAATGGGGTGGGGGGGCGCTGTGTGACGTCTCCCATGGTCACGCATTGGGACGCCGTGTGGTGTGTGTGTGTGGTGTGTGTGTGGTGTGTGTGTGGTGTGTGTGTGTGTGGTGTGTGGTGTGTGTGGTGTGTGTGTGTGGTGTATGTGTGGTATGTGGTGTGTGTGGTGTGTGTGTGTGGTGTGTGTGTGTGGTGTGTGTGGTGTGTGTGTGTGGTATGTGGTGTGTGTGTGGTGTGTGTGGTGTGTGTGGTGTGTGTGGGGTGTGTGTGGTGTGTGTGTGTGGTATGTGGTGTGTGTGGTGTGTGTGTGTGTGTGGTGTGTGTGTGTGGTGTGTGTGGTGTGTATGGTGTGTGTGTGTGGTGTGTATGGTGTGTGTGTGTGTGTGTGTGGTGTGTGGTGTGTGTGTGTGGTGTGTGTGTGGTGTGTGTGCTGTGTGTGTGGTGTGTGTGGTATGTGGTGTATGTGGTGTGTGTGTGTGTGTGGTGTGTGTGGGGTGTGTGGTGTGTGTGTGTGTGGTGTATGTGGTGTGTGTGTGGTGTGTGTGTGTGGTGTGTATGGTGTGTGTGTGGGGTGTGTGGTATGTGTGTGTGGTGTATGTGGTGTGTGTGTGGTGTGTGTGGTGTTTGTGTGTGGGGTGTGTGTGTGGTATGTGGTGTGTGTGTGGTGTGTGTGTGGTGTGTGCGTGGTGTGTGTGTGTGGGGTGTGTGTGTGTGGTGTGTGTGTGGGGTGTATGTGTGTGGTGTTGTGTGGTGTGTGTGTGGGGTGTGTGTGGTGTGTGTGGTGTGTGTGGTGTGTGTGTGGTGTGTGTGTGTGGTGTGTGTGTGTGGGGTGTGTGTGTGGTATGTGTGTGGTATGTGGTGTGTGTGTGTGTGGTGTGTGTGTGGTATGTGTGTGTGTGGTATGTGTGTGTGTGGTATGTGTGTGTGTGGTGTGTGTGTGGTGTGTGTGGTATGTGTTTGGTATGTGGTGTGTGTGGTGTGTGTGTGTGGTATGTGTGTGTGGTGTGTGTGTGGTATGTGGTGTGTGGTATGTGTGTGTGTGGTGTGTGTATGTGTGGTATGTGGTGTGTGTGGTATGTGTGTGTGTGTGTGTGGTATGTGTGTGTGTGGTATGTAGTATGTGTGTGTGTGTGGTGTGTGTGGTATGTGGTGTGTGTGGTGTGTGTGTGTGGTGTGTGTGTGGTGTGTTGTGTGTGTGGTGTGTGTGTGATGTGTGTGTGTGTGGGTGGGGTGTGTGTGTGGTATGTGTGTGGTATGTGGTGTGTGTGTGGTGTGTGTGTGTGATATGTGTGTGTGTGGTATGTGTGTGTGTGGTATGTGTGTGTGGTGTGTGTGTGTGGTGTGTGTGTGTGGTATGTGTGTGGTATGTGGTGTGTGTGGTGTGTGTGTGGTATGTGTGTGTGTGGTGTGTGTGTGTGGTGTGTGTGTGTGGTATGTGTGTGGTATGTGTGTGTGTGGTGTGTGTGTGTGGTGTGTGTGTGGTATGTGTGTGGTATGTGGTGTGTGTGGTGTGTGTGTGGTATGTGTGTGGTGTGTGTGTGTGGTATGTGGTGTGTAGTGTGTGTGTGTGGTGTGTGTGTGTGTGGTATGTGGTGTGTGTGGTATGTGTGGTATGTGGTATGTGTGTGGTGTGTGTGTGTGGTATGTGGTGTGTGTGGTGTGTGTGTGGTGTGTGTGTTGTGTGTGTGTTGTGGTGTGTGTTGTGTGTGTGTGTTGTGTGTGTGTGGTGTGGTGTGCGTGTGGTGCGTGTGGTGCATGTGTGTGTGTGCGTGTGGGGAGCGGTAGTCTGGAGGGTAATGCGCGGTTCTACGGACCCGGCCATCACTTGAGTTCTATTCCCGCTCACGTCCACCACCACCAACACCACCGGTGACGATTCTCTGAACCGGTCCTGGAACCTCCCCTAGGTCAACTCAGCCTCAAATGAGTACCTGGTGCGGTGTGTAGTAAACATCGCCACTGGGGAGACAAAGGCGGCCGAGCGCGGGGCTGGCCACTCACCCCCTCGTGTACCGTTCTGGCCTTCACACACACTCTCACTCACAACAACAACAACAACCGCAATTTGCCACTAAGTGGCGGTGACGTTACCACGACGCTTGTGCCAGGCCATGTGCACCTTGAGGCTACCACGTGAAGTGTCGAACGCCCGCTGGCAGGAGGTCACGGGGCAGACCCAGGTGCCACGGGTCGACTGACTGAGATGACTGAGATGACTGGCTGATGCACCACCTGTGCCCCATACTGTGCCAACCTGCTGTGCTTTAGCCACCCGGCGCTCCGCTCGTTGTTGTGAGCGTCGCTCCTCCGCCCTCCGTTGTTGTTGGAGGGCGACTGCCTCCAAGTGCCCAGTAGTGTCCTTCACGAGCCTCCTCCACAGAGGCCGATCTTGACACCGCTGGTACCAGTCATCGGCAAGTCCACTCAGTTCCACGTCCTCCTGTACCACATCACTCCATCTCTTCTCTAGCGCGTGCC